CCACACATTGAGAAGGGAAAAACAACCCCTTTATTGAAGATAAGTAAAAGCAGCAAAGTAAAAAAGCACTTTAAAGGAATAGGTAAATCCAATTAGGAAAGAAGATAAGCAGGAACAAATTAGTCCAAGATAGGGTTCAGCAAAGTCCAAAAACAAAGTCCACATTTCTTTAATAAAAATCAAAAGAAATGGGAAACATTAATCCAAGGCATGAATATGCAATAACAAGAGACAAAGAGTCAAACCATGAAACAAGAATTTAAAGGGAAATGTAAACTTTATTTCTGGAAAATCATTGACTGAGGTCCCTATATGGTAGTTACAATTGTGTAACATTAATTTATGCACTTGTGACTGTCATGTTTCCTATATAGCCCCTAGTTTAGGGACCATATAGGAACTGTGAATAGCCCAAAGATAAGATATTCCGTCTGATTGTGGAAGCTTAGCAAAGTTAGCCTTGGTTTGTTCTTGAGAGAGGGAGACTGCCAGTGAATACCAGAGAAAGGAACAGGCAAACCACCTCTAGGACCTAAGAAAACTCTGAAAGTAATGAACTTGCCACAACTGAACACACAATGTGAAGGCATACACACACACACACACTCAGACACAGAGGGACCATTAACTCCCTGGATTAATTGCAGGGAGGAGGAAAACTGGCAAGAGGGTGCACGTGGTGTTCCTATTACATGAGCTCCTGCTTGGATGCCAGTTTGACTCCCTTGTGTGATAAGGTCATTAGAATCATTGAATCATAGAGTTGGAAGAGACCTCATGGGCCATCCAGTCCAACCCCCTGCCAAGACGCAGAAAAATTGCATTCAAAGCACCCCCGATAGAAGGCCATCCAGCCTCTGTTTAAAAGCTTCCAAAGAAGGAGCCTCCACCACACACCGGGGCAGAGAGTCCCACTGCTGAATAGCTCTCACAGTCAGGAAGTTCTTCCTAATGTTCAGATGGAATCTCCTCTCTTGTAGTTTGAAGCCATTGTTTCGCGTCCTAGTCTCCAGGACAACAGAAAACAAGCTTGCTCCCTCCTCCCTATTCCTTCCTCTCACATATTTATACATGGATATCATGTCTCCTCTCAGCTTTCTCTTCTTCAGGCTAAACATGTGATGTCTCATGTACAGATATATTGAATATGTATTCAATTTGATACATTATTTTTTCCCTGAACACACATTGTATAAAATTGGTCCTATGCTGTTCAAAGCTGCCTTTTACCTAATTACTTTGGGCTACATATGACATATCACAATTAAACACGTGGCAAAATACTGTGCTTTACAATGACAGATGCCCAGAGGGCAACATTAGAAGCTTCTTGGAGAAGCCCCTAATGTTGGCTTCTTGGCTTCAGCCCCCCCCCCCCCCCCGAAATTCTCATGATGGTCTGCGAAAAGGCCTTACTGGTACATTATTTAAACTGTTATGTTTATTCATATCATGAATAAGGTTCGCAGGTTCGAATCCCGAGAGAGGCGGATGAGCTCCCTCTATCGGCTCCAGGTCCTCATGTGGTGACAAGAGAGAAGCCTCCCACAAGGATGACAAAACATCAGAAATCATCCGGGCGTCCCCTGGGCAACGTCCTTGCAGACGGCGAATTCTCTCACAACAGGAGCGGTTGCTCCTGACACGACCAAAAAAATAATAATATCATGATCTGATCACTAGGCCTGGGTAACAACGGAAAAATTTGTTTCTAAAATCGATTCGTTTTCTGGGTTTTTTTGCGTTTTGTTATTTAAAATAATTACAAAATTTTCCTTAAAAAAAGTTCGATATTTACGAAATTTCGTAAATGGTAAAAAAATTACAAAACAATAACGAAACAATAACGAATCGATTCATTAATGGCGGCCGCGATCGCGCAATACGCTAAAAAAAACTTCTGAAGCTCCCCTCTCCCTCTGTTGTTGACTGTTGGTGTGATATTATAATTTTTTTTCACTAATTAAACAAAAAACAACTATAAAACTTGCCCCAGACATGCGGAAATAATAACGAAACGACCTCAAACCAATAACGAAACGAATACATAACGAAATACGAAGCATTTACGAAAATTGAAAAATTCGTTTCGTTTTTAAGTTGCTCCAGAATGGTTCGTTATCACTTCGTTAACAAAAAATTAACGAATTTTTAACGAATTACGAATTAACGAAACGAAACCGCCCAACCCTACTGATCACCATGCTCAATATATCTCATATGCATGGGGGTATTGGGGTAACGATACAAAAGGTTTGCTAGGGTAGACCCTCTTTCACTCAGACTCAGTCCCCCCCCCCAAACAAACTCAGCCCCCCCCCCCCGAATCAAAATCCTGGCTACGGGCCTGCTGTCCATTATTTATAAAATATTTGGACTACTTATAAATGTAAGGATGTGATCAGGAATAAGAGAGAGGGAAGAACATTGAACCTTTTGACCTTTTCCATAGCTGGTTGGAAATAACGAAAGAGGAAGGCGACAAGGGAATGGAGGGGACTGGGATATTTTTTATTGTTCTGTTTATGATTCTTCTGATTCTCTATTTTCTGAAACAGCAGTGGTCACGCCGACATGTTCCCCCTGGGCCTCTTTCCCTTCCTGTGATTGGAGCCATATGGAGACTAAACTTTGGAATTGGGTGAAATGCAGAGACACTAATACAGGTAATTTTTTTCTAAATAATTAATCAATAACTTTAAAATAGCTATAGATGTTTTTTTAAAAAAGATACAGTTCAGTCATCCTGTTGGATAAGAATTTCAACGCCAGAAATTTGATGTGCTATTAACCATATCTGCAAGATATTTTCAGCACCATGGACAGTTCCTTTGAAGTCCAGGTTGGACCTCAGAGCTTCTTCCATGGCCCTCTGCCATTGAAGCCATCAGCCAGAGAAAGTGCAATTAATTATGCACTTGATGATCCTGATAGTTTTTTCCTACCTTTTCTGACTTGTGCCATTATGTTTTAGCTGAGCTTCTATTACTTGCTTGTCATTAACACTCAAGTATTTGAGAGACAGATAACCATCTTGATTTCCCTTTCAGCTTTTTGATGGTTATCTCATGTCAAGAACAGTTTCTTCTTTATTATGCAGATGTAACTGTATTCAAATTCCTAACTGGATGTGTTTACATCTTTCTGATTTCAAATATTTGGAGGACTCCCTTCTGTGTAACTGAGGACTTATTTCATATTCATTCGTATGTGATAGGCATGCAAATATTTCATTACAGTGAGCACTGAAATTACAGTAATATTTTCCTTCCCCAAAAGATACCTATTTTTAAATATTTGAAAGGAAATGTTACCTTGTTTGTGGGAAATTCAGAGGCTGGAGTCCTCTATGGCAATTATAGTTGGGTAACACAGAGTTATGCATTGTGACTGTCATGTTATTTATGTAGTTCCTAATTTAGGAACCATATTGGAAGTGTTAAAGGCCTAAATATCCCAAAAGCACCTGTTTCTGTCTAAGCAGGACCAGCCCTGGTTAGTTCTTGGAAGGGGGGACTGCCAATTAATGCCAGAGGAAGGAAACACAATCATCTCAGTTCCATCTTGTCTCCTGTGCTTTACTAATAATATAATATATTGTATATACATATAATATTTATAATATTATAATATACCATATAATACTACTACTAATAATAAATATTATAATTATATATTTTATATTACATGTAATATTACTAATAATATTGCAATATAATGGTGTAGTCCAATATAGTAATATATAATACTGATAGTGTACTATGCTAATAATTTAATATATTGTATATATTTATAGAATCATAGAATCAAAGAGTTGGAAAAGACCTCATGGGCCATCCAGTTCAACCTCCTGCCAAGAAGCAGGAATATTGCATTCAAATCACCCCTGACAGATGGCCATCCAGCCTCTGTTTAAAAGCTTCCAAAGAAGGAGCCTCCACCACACTCCGGGGCAGAGAGTTCCACTGCTGAACGGCTCTCACAGTCAGGAAGTTCTTCCTTATGTTCAGAGGGAATCTCCTCTCTTGTAGTTTGAAGCCATTGTTTCACGTCCTAGTCTCCAGGGAAGCAGAAAACAAGCATATAAATATGTGGTTTCCTCTCACATATTTATACATGTCTATCATATCTCCTCTCAGCCTTCTCTTCTTCAGGCTAAACATGCCCAGCTCCTTAAGCCGCTCCTCATAGGGCTTGTTCTCCAGACCCTTGATCATTTTAGTCGCCCTCCTCTGGACACATCCAGCTTGTCAATATCTCTCTTGAATTGTGGTGCCCAGAATTGGACACAATATTCCAGGTGTGGTCTAACCAAAGCAGAATAAAGGGGTAGCATGACTTCCCTAGATCTAGACACTATGCTCCTATTGATGCAGGCCAAAATCCCATTGGCTTTTTTTGCCGCCACATCACATTTGGCTCATGTTTAACTTGTTGTCCACAAGGACTCCAAGATCTTTTTCACATGCACTGCTCTCGAGCCAGGCATTGCCCCCCATTCTGTATCTTTGCATTTCGTTTTGCCTGCTTATATCTTGTCAGCTGCTCTGTGTCCCCTTCGGGGTGAAAAGGGCGGCATATAAATGTTGTAAATAAATAAAGAAAGAAATATTCCTTGCCTAAGAAACTCTATGAAATTGATGAAGTTGGCATAAGTCAGCAGGCAACTTGAAGTTATATACACACACTGGACTAACCTCAGGGTGGAGGCAAACAGGTAATGGTATTACACATAGCTTATGACACGTGTTCCTGCTTGAAGGTTCATTTTACCTCCTCATGTAATAAGGTCTCATTAAACATTTGACCTTTCATGTTCAGATATAGTGAATGCCCGTTCAATGTGGGACATTTTTTTCCTTTCTACGAATTCGGTTGAGCAACATGTTCCATAAGACAATTAAACATATTGCAAATTCCAATGGCTATCAGAAGATGAATTGCTGGTTTATGTTCTTCATACCTTGAGAGTATGTGCATGAGTGTGTGTATGCGTGTGTATAAAATCTTAGTAGGAAAGATAGCGAGGGAATAACATTGCATCAACATCTTTCAACTTCTATAGTTGGCTGGAAATACTCAAAGAGAAAGCAGAAGGAGAATGGAGGGGATCCGGATACTTTTGATCGTTCTGCTTGCGATTCTTCTACTTTTCTACTTCTTGAAACAGCAGTGGTCTCACCGACATTTACCCCCTGGGCCTCTTGCCCTTCCTCTCATTGGAGGAGTATGGAGAGTTAACTTTGGAATTGGATGGAATGAAAAGACAATAATAAAGGTACTTTTTCCCTAATTATTAAGCAATATATTTTTTCTGTGGTATATTAAGCAATATATTTTTCTGTGGACCAAAGAGTTGTGGGTTACAAAAAGTAGATATGTATTTTTATATGAAAACTTATTATTATTAATTATTATTTATTGATTCTTAGAAAGTCCTAGACAGTATGCTTAAATGTTGTAGTAATATTATTATAGTTTGCCTACCACTTTTTGCCAGAGATTGGAGATATTGCTTATTCAAAATATAGCTCTTAGAATCTCCTAACCTAAACTGTATAGGCATTGCATGTTGCAGCTATAGTACAAAAAATAACTTTTTGTAGTTTTCCTTATTGTCCCCGGTGGCTCAGTGGGTTAAACTGCTCAGCTGCTAAACTTTTTTGACTGAAAGGTTGCAGGTTCGAATCCGGGGAGCAGTGTGAGCTTCCGCTGTCAGCCCCAGCTTCTGTCAACCTAGCAGTTCGAAAACATGCAAATGTGGGTAGATCAATAGGTACCGCTCCAGAGGGAAGGTAACAGTGCTCCATGCGGTCATGTCGGCCCCATGACTTTGGAGATGTCTACGGACAATGCCAGCTCTTCGGCTTAGAAATGGAGATGAGCACCAACCCTCAGAATCACACACGACTGGACTTAATGTCAGGGGAAAAAAATTACCTTTACTTTTACCTTATTGTCCCAGTGGTACCAACAGTGCCTAAAAGTACAATGAAAATAATTTTTTTGTGCAAGCAATGAGACTTCCTCCTACTTTTTGCTCCATGCAGCCCTCTATGTTTTCCTACATATCTGTTGTGGATGGTCCTCCAAATTCCAGGAGCAATTTGATGACATGAAGGGAATGGCGGAGAGAACCTCCTTCTTCTTAACTGCATTAACAAAAGCATTCCTTCCACAAAATTATTTCATAAACACCACATCTGATAAAAATAGGAATATAGATGAGGGGCAGGATGTTATATAGATCAGAAGGGTAAGATGGATGCCAAGAAGAAATCCCGTGGAATGGAAGAGTGTTGGGATTTAAAGTTCTGCAAAGTATTTTGTATGTAGTGCAAAAGCACACTGGTCATGCCTTGAAAAGTGTTAAACACCAAGGGCCTCATCACACTAGCCTTGTCTTGACTTTCTTCTTAACATAAGAAATCTTGTAAACATTTTCTTAACTTTAAAAAGTCAGTGTCTCCGATTAATGTAAACAAGTTTCCCCCCCCAAAAGTTCAATAGTTAATCATTTGTCACAGTTCTTATCAACTCCAGTTCCCCTGGTTGACGATAAGTTTCTGTTCCCAATTCAAAGTGCAGGTTATAACCAACAAAGTCCTAAATGGTTTGGGCCCTACCTATCTTCGCAAGTGCATTTTCCCCTATGAATTGGCGTAGACCCTTTTCTCGCTCCCACCACTGTCACATACTTGGTTAGTGGGAACAAGAGAGAGGGCCTTTTCGGTGGTGGTCCCTTGGCTCTGCCTCCCCAGGGAGATTAGGCTAGCACCTACTCTGTCTACCTTCCGCAGGGACCTTAAAACATGGATATTCCAATGTGCATTTACAAATGATTAGGCCCCTGTCTATGATTGCCCAGACCTAATTGACTGTCAGATTGAACTCAGCTCTCTACCTCCAGCCCTGGCCCTATAATCTGTTTTTGCACAAGCCCATGCCCAGCCCCTGCCCTCTCTAATTCTGATATGTGCATTATAGTTCCCGTTCTGGTTATTGAGGTTGTCTTTAATTTATTTTAATGATGTTTTTATACTTTACTGCTTTAATTGTTTAATTAGATTGTCATGTCTTTGTTGCATTTTGAAATGTGTTTTTACTTTGTTGTTATTGGACTTGGTCCTGCTTGTAAGCCATGTGGAGTCCCTTCAGGGAGATGGTAGCGGGATATAAAAATAAAGTTATTATTATTATTATTATTATTATTATTATTATTATTATTATTATTATCATCTTTTCTTTTTCTTGCTTTGATCCAAACTGCAGTTGGCAAAACAGTATGGGAGCATTTTTACTTATTGGGTAGGACATATGCCTATGGTAGTTTTGTCTGGATTTGAAGCTGTGAAAGAAGGACTGGTTGATCATTTGGAAGAATTCTCAGACCGGCCGGAAACACCATTTCTTACACTCATAGGAAGAAGAAAGGGTAAGTTGTGGAGAGTTGCACTGGTGGATCTTTCTGCAGATAAACAGACAGCTTTTATCTGTTGAAATTACACTTAAAAAGTCACTTCTGAAAAACAGCAACTATACTGGAAGAAAAAAATCCAAAATGGGGAATTTACATTTAAAATGTTAATTGATTACATTATATTTTACATAATAAACTAGATAATATAGAAACAGCAAACCAATCTTAAGTATATAAAAATGTATATGTAAACATGTGATGATCTATTTCAATTTTTGAAAAAAATGGATGATCTTATGGATGATCTTAATCATCTACATGGGCCAACAGTATCCACCTTCCTTCTCACTTCTGTGATTTTACTTCTGCAGAGAAACGGTGTGTAAGAGCTTGCTACTCAACAGAGGTTTTGAGAAGCTTTATTTTAATACACTGAGTACATTTCTCCTATCTTGGCCAACAGAAAATATTTTTCTTTCATTTTTAATCCTTTATTCAGAACTCCAATCTCTCTTTTTGGTTTTGTTTTAATTTGTGCATCGGCAGATTGAGTGTTGGATGAGAATACTGGAAAGGCAGGGTTCAGATTCCTTTTGGCCAAGTGAACCTATTGTGTGACCTTGGACTTCCTCAGTCTCAGAGCAGTGGTTCTCAACCTTTTTTTGACCAGGGACCACTTGACAGGGATCATTTTGACCAGGGACTGCTTTGACCAGGGACCACTTGATCAGGGACCACTCTCCAACATTAGTACCAAAACGGCTACAAATCAGTTTTTGGTCAACTTTAGATTTGCTTTGGTTATTTGGGGTGCTGATTCTGAAAATGCATTGGATAAACCACATCAGCTCTAGTTTAAGATACAGAACATATGCCGTTCAGTAGTCACTATCTGCTTGCCCACAGAAAGCCTTATTTAATAATCTAGAGCTGATGTGGTCTATCCAAGGGGGAAGAGCTGGTTTGCAACAGAGAAGGAGTGGCAATCAGGGCAAAAGGAGCTGAAATAAATAAAATAAAATCAGTAAATAAAGAGGAAGGAGGCTCACGGACCAGATTTTTGTCCTTGCAGCCCACTGGTAGTCCATGCCCCACAGGTTAAGAACCACTTGTCTCAGAGGAAGGCCAGGGCAAACCCCCAAACCCCATCTGAATGTATTCTGCCAGAGATTTGAGCTTTTCTTCAACTTCAGGACAGTGAAGAAAGTTGAGTCAGTCTTTCCATCTCACTGCAGTCTCCAACCATGACATGGCACCTGTCTCTCCCCCATCACTTGCCCTGAGGGTCAGCCAAATCATGCAGTAGGGAGAGGGAGCTGATGTGTCATGGACAGAGAAGATATCACTGGCACTTTTAGATTTTCAAACCATGTGATTTGTCATGGTCTGGAGTTAAGTTTGCCTCTTCCACAGTAACAACCTCACTATATTTGACCCCAACTGTAAGTAATAACTGTATACTGATTCCTTCCACCCTCAGGTATTATATTTTCAAATGGACATACCTGGAAACAGCAGAGACGGTTTGGCCTAGTTACTCTGCGGAAGTTGGGAGTGGGGAAAAAAAGCATGGAGGGCCAAATAGAAGAGGAATCCCGACAGCTTGTAGAGGTTTTTGCACGTGAAAAAGGTATGTCATAGAGGATGGTGCAAGGATGAGTCAATCTGAAGTTGTGTGTGTAGTCTGTGCTTCTCTTTGGTATGAAATCTGACAAAAATAAGTGCCCAGAAATCGCAGTACTTCTGTTCTCCAAAGGAAAAATCCAAGTCTGAGTATTTTTAGGTTGAAGTGATATTAATAAAACTTGATTTGCAGGCCAGCCATTTGATCCTGCTTTGCCCATCACCAATTCAGTCTCCAATGTGATATGTGCTGTGACTTTTGGATACCGTTTTCCCCTTGAAGATGAAACCTTCAAAAAACTGATTGAGGCCGTGGCATTTACCTTACAATTTGGAGGAAGTCCATTTCATGCGGTAAGTCACTTTTATTTGGTAAGCCACTTTAGACTCCTTTGTAGAAACATATGAAAAGTTTGGCCTCTCACTTAACACTGGATAAACTAAAGTGCTCTACAAGCAAAAGGCACCACCCAATCCCTCTACAATGCCAGAAATAAACCTTAATGGTGTAATGCTAGAAAATGTTGACCATCTCCATACCTAGCCACCTCTCCACAAAAGCCAACATCGATGCCAGAATACAGCACTGTCTAAGCTCTGTGAGCACAGAATCTTTTTTGAATGAAGCAGAGAGTGCTTGAGGATCATGACATTAGAGATACCAAGATGTTTGTTTATAAAGCTATCATCCTTCCAACTTTACTGTACTCCTAAAAAACAAACACAACTCTCAATTCTACAAAGATTCCATCAGCATTGCCTTCAAACAATCCTGCAATTCTCTTTGGAAGGCAGGCAGACATCAGCATCTGGAAGAAACAAAGACTTTCTTGGACAGAATGTCACATTGCCCAAATGTCCTAAGATCACTGTCTACCAAAGCAGTTACTTTACTCTCAACTTTAGAATGGAAAACAAAACATCACTGGACAACATAAGAGATTGGAACCCCAGGTTTTGGCAGTGACCAGGGGAGCATTTGTACAGTTAAAACTTGTGTGCCAGCTGTGCCCGTACCTTGGGAAGTCTGATTTGGCCATGGTGGTCCACGTTCTGGTTGCATCACATATAGATTACTGCAACATGCTCTACGTGGGGTTGCCTTTGAAAACTGCTTGGAAGCTTCAAATGGTCCAGTGTGCGGCAGCCAGGTTACTAACGGGAGCAGCGCTCAGGGAGCATACAACTCCACTGTTGCATCAGCTCCACTGGCTGCCAGTTTGCTACCAGGCACAATCTATAGTGCTGACTTTAGCCTATAAAGCCCTAAACAGTTCCAGCCCAGCTTATGTATCCGAACGCATCTCTCCCTATGAACCTTCCAGGAACTTGAGATTGTCTGAGGAGGCCCTGCTCTCAATCCCGCCTGCCTCACAAGCACATCTGGCAGGGACGAGAGACAGGAACTTCTCTATAGTATTGGAAATTTTCAGCAGTTTGGTGTCTTCTTGCTGAGTTGATGAAGAAGAAATAACTTTTGCACTTTGAACTCGGTTTGCACTGACTGGAGGAAGCTGCAGACAAAGAAATAAAATGGGAGGAAGAGAGAAAAATTGGTTATTTTCAAACCAGCTAAAAAAGTGAGAAAACAAAGAATGTGTTAGGAGTGTCTAATGGTAGGCCTTTGCTTTTGTCTTTGTTGTAGATATATGAAATGTTCCCATGGCTCATGAAGCATCTTCCAGGACCTCACAAGAAGGCATTTCATGGTACAGAGATGGTGCTTTCATTAGCAAAGAAAGAAATACAGAAACATAAGGAACAAAAGTCCTTTCATGAGCCACAGGATTTGATTGATTTCTACCTGCTTAAAATGGAAAAAGTAAGTATCTGCTTTGTATCCAATTATTTTCATTCCAAGGTGTTCAATGGGGCCTTAGTATCCTCCTCCTCCTTCTGAGGATGGTTTACTATGTGAATGTTCACACAGTAGTCTCAACTTTGAGAAGCAAGTGTGGTGGTTTGGGGGGGGAGCATGCCAGGAGCAACTTGAGAAACTGCAAGTTGCTTCTGGTGTGAGAGAATTGGCTGTCTACAAGGACATTGCCCAGGGCATGCCAAGATGTTTTAACATCCTGTGGGAGGCTTCTTTCATGTTCTTACATGAGAAGCTGGAACTGACAGATGGGAGCTGATTCCTCTCCCTGAATTTGAACTGCTGACATTCCAGTCAGCAGTCCTGGCAGCATTGCACCATGAAGGACTCCACAGGTGTGGTGGCAGAAACTCATGAACAAGCAAAACCATGAATGTAAAACTCACAAATGTGAAGGTTACCAATGTAGTAAAACAGTAGAAGTAAAATTTGTTGGGTCATTTTTTTTCCTCCGTGTATTTGTTATCAGTAACCTAAATCCTACTCCTGATTAGAGTAGACCTATTGGATCAGAGGGGGTTTCCTGCGTGTTGATTCACCCTTCAATGACAGGAAAAGGAAGCTTTATGGTCAATCATAAGTTCATACTTCATCTTTCATATTTTTAGCATCAGAGGATAAATGATCCTACTTCTACGTATGATGAAGAGAACCTGGCTCAGGATATTCATGACTTATTTATTGCTGGAACAGAAACAACGGCCACGTCTCTGAAATGGGCAATCCTCCTTTTGACAAATCACCCAGATATTCAAGGTAAGAGAGATCCCTGTTGCATTAGCAGATTCTTTAAATAAACCAAAGAAAGAAAATCAGATCCAAATTCTAGCTTGTGTTGCCCACTGAAAAGATAGAACATGCTACTAAGCTAATTTATTCAAGTTTGAGAATATATGGGGGTCCACAACTACTTAGATAATCTAACAGTCTTTTGCTTAGTTTTGATTATTTTTTCTCTCTTTTCCATAAGATTTTCTGTGTCATTTATGGAAAACATAGTTGTGCTCAACTGCTTAGCATAATGAAAATAAAGGAAAGAGAACAAGGTTTTCAGAATCTCCAGTTTTTGCATGGAAAACCTCCAATTTGTAATTTGTTGGATAAGCAGAGATTATTGGAAGAAGAAGGGACAGAGAGGCTGGTGAATGAATAAAACATAGGATACCAGAGGTGCTATCAAAATAGAATAGGAGAATGCATGTGAATAAATGCAAAAAGTAGACATTTGCCCCTTAACCCCTGAAATAACGAGACAGACAACAAAGGTATGGATTCAAATTGGGCAACTTTTATTGAATGTTACCTATTTAACTTTACCTGAACTAAACTAAGTGTCAAGGAACTTGGTGGCAAGCTGAGGCAGCGTCCCCAGCTACTTAGTGTGTGATGTCTGTGTGCCCTGGATCCCCAACCGGGCAACCTGAAGGTAAAAGTCTGGAGAAGCCTGTGTCCGATTATTGATATCAGCTTCTCCCTTTACTGGGCCAATTGATGTCCCCTCACCCATTTGTTGACTTCTAGGTGAGTGTTTGTTGTACAGTGCCCCCCACCCTTAATGGGTGCCATGTGTATACCTCCATGTCAGTGTTTTCCTGAACTATTTATGCTGGCCTAGTTAAACCAAACCACTCCATCTAGCCCCTAATAACAGTATAGGGTAGGCGAAAAAACCCCCCAGAACATGAGAGGCAAAAAATTCCTACCCGGCTCCAACGGGCAACCAAATATACTGTCAATGGGCGGGAGTGGCGGGCGGAAAGTCAGACAAGACTGAAGAACGGAGGCTGGCTCACGTGGTAAGCCAGCCCCCGCCCCTCTTCCAGGAGGTTCTAAAAGGAACCTCCCATTCTCTCCCTTCAGGGGGTGGGGCAAATCGCTCTCCCCACCAACTGCGTTGGTGTGGAGAGTCCCTTGCCCCTTAACCCCTGAAATAACGAGACAGACAACAGGGTATGGATTCAAATTGGGCAACTTTTATTGAATGTTACCTATTTAACTTTACCTGAACTAAACTAAGTGTCAAGGAACTTGGTGGCAAACTGAGGCAGCGTCCCCAGCTACTTAGTGTGTGATGTCTGTGTGCCCTGGATCCCCAACCGGGCAACCTGAAGGTAAAAGTCTGGAGAAGCCTGTGTCCGATTATTGATATCAGCTTCTCACTTTACTGGGCCAATTGATGTCCCCTCACCCATTTGTTGACTTCTAGGTGAGTGTTTGTTGTACAGTGCCCCCCACCCTTAATGGGTGCCATGTGTATACCTCCATGTCAGTGTTTTCCTGAACTATTTATGCCACAGATTGGGGGCAAATGTCTATTTCGCCCCCATCCCCCACCAAGCCCCTTAACTTCCTGAATGCCTAACTGCAAATCAGCTAAAAATTGTGCGTTACCCAAATCCGTTAAATGTACACCATCCGAGCAATAAAACTGTGTTTTGTCATGTGTGATGTCCTTATGCTGGATGTAAGACCCTCTGCCCCGTGCTAAAGCCGTGCGCATGGCCCGGTTCACACGCTTTCTGGCCTTTTCGAGCTTCCTGACGTCACCACCTCCTGGCCACCGAAGGCGTGGAATGATGGCCGACCAAGCGATGTGAACCCGGGGCCATGCCTGCCAGATCTTCAAAATGTCAGCACGGGCTTGTAGATACAAGGCCCTGCCGTTAAGCAGGCCAAGATCATTACCTCCAATATGGAGCACCAAAACATCAGGAGTGGGCCTGCTCCTGTCCTGGAACAACAAGGGAACTAAACCGTCCCAACGAAGGCCCCGAACACCCTTCCACTCGACCAATGCAGTGGAAGCGCAACCCAGATGCTGGCCAAAGGACGAGTTCCTGGCGTATCTCTCCGCCCAGTGGACATAACTATGCCCACAAACAAGGATTCTCCATCTATGCACCAGCCTGGCAGTCTCTGAAAGAGAAACAACAAACTCAAACAAGTACCGAGCGAACATAACGCCGGTAAGCGCCCGATTTCCACCTGCCAATTGATTTGATGGCCTCCTCATTATAACCCAAGTGTGCTGCTGAAGATGCCGCTCCAATTCGAAAAGAGTGAGTCCCAAATTTGTGCGAACCCAACCCTAGCATCTTCAGCGCCCTGTCCGTGATAACCCAAAACTGGTATTTAGTAAGGGGGGTGGAATCCTGATGGCAAAACAAATATCCACCCGCGTGAGCCCTGACTTGAATGAACTGTGCCATAGCCGAAACAGGGCAAAGCTCAGGGTCACTGCATCTAGTAGGCCTGGGTAACAACGGAAAAATTTGTTTCTAAAATCGATTTGTATTTAGGGGTTTTTTTTGTTTCGATATTTAAAATAATTACAAAATTTTCCTTTTAAAAAGTTCGATATTTACGAAATTTCGTAAATGGTAAAAAATTAACGAATCGATTTCCGAAACAATAACGAATCGATTCGTTAATGGCGGACGCGACCGCGAAATACGCTAAAAAACCTCCAAAACCTTCTGAAGCTTCCCTCTCCCTCTGTTGTTGACTGTTGGTGTGATATTATAATTTTTTTTCACTAATTAAACCATAAAACTGGCCCAGACATGCGGAAATAATAACGAAACGACCTCAAAACAATAACGAAACGAATACAATATCGAAATACGAAGCATTTACAAAACGTTTTTGAAAATTCATTTTTTTAATAATTGCTCCAGAATGGTTCGTTATCGTTTTGTAATTGAAAAAATTAACGAATTATTAACGAATTACGAATTAACGAAACGAAACCGCCCAGCCCTAGCATCTAGCTAAAGTAAGCACAGCGCCCTTGGCCTGCTGGTCCGTCTTGGACGAACGTACTAAAATTTGGAGGGTGTCATGCGTTAGCTTTATATCTGGTAACAGCAATGCCCGCTGAGAAACATCTCTCTTTGACATGGCCAGTAACTCACTTATCCTAAGAGCAGCGAAAAAGGCCGTCAAGGCCGCTGCGTGGAATAACCGCTGCTCATACTCCGACCTACACACTCTGGGCCATGTTCCCTTTAATCCCTTTAAAATTGTGGGCGACAAGGGCTCCCTTTTATCAAGCGATGGACCCCGTTGGCGTGCCCAGCCCGCAATAATTTTATGTAGGCGGAAATCGTTTGTGGGATCCGAAAGACCCTGCGCTTTTGACCAGTAGGCCAACGCCGACAGCTGGGACTTAATGGTGTGCGGCGCTAGGCCCCTTCTGTGCGAGTACACACAGAATTGCGCCAAATGTTCGTAAGGAATCGGTACTGTAAACGGTAACTGGTAAAACTGCCTAAAATCATGAAACTCCTCAACCACCCTCAGGTAAGACTTTCGTGAACTTGGGGCTAATGCTAAAGCCATACCCATTACCGCCTCGTCCCTCCAACCTGCCAAAGATGGCCTGGCATACGCTGTGGATGAACGTCGGCGCTGGGCGCGAGTTGTCTGAAGCGCTCCATCTGCATACGAGATAGAGCGTCAGCCAAAGAATTGTCTATTCCCGCTATGTGAAAGGCTTTAAACAAGATGTTATACCTCAAGCAGTGTAATGTGAACTGCCTGAGCGCCCCCATCACCCTATTAGATTTTGATGTCAAAGTATTAATAACCTGAACGGTGGCAAGGTTATCGCACCAAAAATGAACTGTCGAATTGGCAAAGGCCTCCACCCATATTGTAACAGCCACAAGTATGGGAAAAAATTCTAAAAACGTTAAATCCGCTGTAATCCCCTGCGCGTGCCAACTGTCCGGCCAGACTTCGGCACACCAGTGTCCCTGAAAAAACACCCCAAAACCAACTGCGCCTGACGCATCGGACGCCACTTTAAGAGCGTCCTGCAGCCTTAACTCCTGTCTCCAAAATGAAACCCCGTTAAAACCTTCCAAAAATTCCAGCCAAATGGACAGGTCCTCCCTAACTGAACGAGTAACCCTAATCCTATGATGGGGCATTTTAACTCCTGCTATGGCATTACATAGCCTACGTAAAAAGGCCCTCCCCGGGGCAACAACCCTACATGCAAAATTTAAATGGCCAATTAACTCCTGAAATTCTTTTAAAGTGGCCTTTCTACGATACAAAAACTGATGAACCCTGCCCGTCAAGTCTGCCACCTTATTAGGGGGCAACCTGGAATATTGCTGAACCGTATCCAATTCAATCCCCAAAAAAGTCAGAACCGTCGACGGGCCTTCAGTTTTTTCCTCCGCCAAGGGAACCCCTAATTCCTGCGCTAGCCCCTGAAAAGACTCGAGTAACCCCCTGCAATTACCCGACCCGGAACGCCCTACAAACAGGAAATCATCCAAATAATGGGTGACTCCAGACATTCCGGATTTGGTCCTAACGGCCCAATCCAGGAAGGTACTAAATTGCTCAAAGGCCGCACAGGAAATGGAGCACCCCATGGGAAGTGCTCTGTCCATGTAGAAAAAACCCCCGAATTGAAAACCCAGCAGCTCAAAATCCGCCGGATGGACGGGAAGCAAACGAAATGCCGACTTAATGTCGCATTTAGCCAGCTCTGCCCCAAGCCCAAACCGCCGAACCAGCTGCACGGCCGAATCAAACGATGCGTAATGAACAGAGCATTGCTCATCAGGAATCGCATCATTCACCGACCTGCCCTTGGGATAGGACAAGTGATGAATGAGGCGATATTCCCCCTGCGTTTTCTTTGGAACTATTCCCAAAGGTGATACCCGCAACAACGGCGTTGGCGGCGCCGTAAATGGGCCCAAAACCCTCCCCTCTAAAACTTCCTTATCGATTTTGCGCTGTACCAACTCCTCCATACCTATAACTGATTTTAAATTTGGGGATAAAGTGTGAAACCGGGGACCCAACGCCGGAATACGAAAACCCTCCAAAAAACCTTCCCATAGGTATTTAGCTGACCCCCTATTCGGGTACTTGTCTAACCAAGTCTTCAACTGATCTAACTTAATTGGGCTGGGGCCCTTTTGGAACTGAGGCCTGCCCTGAGGGCTTTTTAACAAATTGAGTGTCCCTAGGGTTACCTCTCGCGGCCCTCCCTTTGGGGCAATTTCTGGACGGGTGCGTGCCGTAACAAATTGAGCACGAGTGGGCATATCGACATCCCTTACGTGAACAGGCTCCCTGAGCCACGAATTCCCAGCATAGAGGCTTTTGTCGCTGGGACTGCAGCTGGGGAGCCCCCTGCCGAAAGGGCTGCCCAGCTCTGTTCTGAATAGTGTGCCCACTGTCAGCTTTCAAAGCAGAAGAAGCCCTAGACGGATTCATCACTTCAATCCAAATTTGATCATCAATCAAATCCCAACGCTTGTCTGGATGGCAAGCCGCTTCAGTTCTAAACCGCCGATCGTATTCCAGCCAAGCGTTAGGAGGGCCACTGACATACGCCTTGTTAATAATATTCTGATACTGCCACAAGGCCGTAGCCCTCTCTGGGGCAGCATCAGAAAGCAAGTTCGCATACATTGTGAAACAAGGGAGCCAGTTCTCCCAATTCTGCTCAACCTTGCGCTTCTTCATTTTCTCCTTACTGTCCTCATCTAACTCATCCTTCTCCTTCTTATCCATATCCCTAAAGTATAGAGAAAAGACATCGATGTATTCATTCCTCAAAATCTTTTCCATAGTTTTAGTCGCCAAATGGGAACCTAAACCTGAAAGACTAACAGTAGGCGTCGCCTGTGGTGGCCATTTTGCTGTGCCCCAAAATTTGCTTGCCTCCCCAGTGCGAGCCGATTCCAAAGTGACCGTAACTGGTTTGGCCGACTGAGCAGCAGCATCATCCTTCTTATCACCTGTACCGGGTTCTGACCCGCCCTCAGACTGAATCCCAACTGCAGAAGAGACTGAACCCCTACCACAGGTTGAGCCCGCCCCTGATCCCAGGGCCATGTGAGTGCGGTAGAAGTGCCCAATGATGTGAGTGTGGTGGAAGTACCTGCTGGGACAGCCGTCACCAACTGCTCACGCGCTGCTACATCAACGGCAGCAACAGTCGACCCCACCAACTGAGTGGACCCGGCCACAGCACTGGCCGTGGAGGCCATTGCTGCGGGCTGACTGGGTCCGGCCACAGCGGACGCCGAGGAGCCAAACAAAGCCTGCACAGACGGAGGTGCTTCAGGGCTGATGATGATTTGCACAGCCGCAGACACCCCAGCAGAGCCCTCCGCAGCCCCCGGAACCGCCGGTTGTTCAGGAAGCCGGACCGCTGCCGGCTGTTCAGGAAGCCGGACCGCCCTCTCTGCCCCCGCAGCTGAGGTCGACTCTATAATAGAAACCCGGGACAATAAAGATTTGAATAACTGCTTCTTACTTGCCCGGCGAGTGGGGCCAAAACCAGCCCCACCCAAACCAACCCCCCTATTTTGTTCAATTTGGTTAACACGCTGGAGAAGGGCCTCCAAATCTTCCATAGACACCCCATCTTCGTCCGACGACGACCCATCCTGACGCAAAGGGCGCTTGTGACCCGTCTTCTCCGCGGTACCCTTCCCCTTAGGGCCCCCCCTGTTCTTCTTTGATGGCATCCTACAAAATAAAAGGAAGTAGAATGCCAATGAGAGCCCGCTCTACACACCGAGCGCTAACGCCACCATGGCGGCCCTTATCCACTCCCTCCAGTGATGCAAAAGTGCCCACCGCACAGCATAATCATAGAATCAAAGAGTTGGCAGAGACACACTGTGCCATTCCATATCCCCCCGACTAGGCTCCCAAGCATCATAGAATCAAAGAGTTGGAAAAGACCCCACGTCCCATCGCCATCACATCCATCCGCCACCTTATCCCCAATGGCGAATAGAATCAAAGAGTTGAAAGGGACATTTGCATAAACAGATGCCTTACTCTGGAAGCCCACATAAACTGGCACCGTTCATGTACTATGCCTTCTAATGTGCTATTGCAACTCAAAGATGCTGTACATGAAATCATATGACACAACAGGACAAATTAATAGCTAAGCCTTAAAGCTCCGTCTTGAACTAGCTTTGGTATTGTAGTATTACCCAGTGTGGAAAGAGGGACATTTGCAATAGGAACTTGAGAAATTCAGTGGGCAAAGTAGCACATGCGTGGACATAAATCAAAACAACCCCCCCGCCCCATTAAACCACCCCTTATCATGAAGAAGCTTCTGACTAAGAGACCTTAACACCACAAGGTGAGGAAGGGTATGGGGTTACCCCTATAACTTGGAATGGGAGGGGGGTGTGTGGGGTTGTCCAATGCCTATTAAAGTCACCATAAACCGTCCCTCAGCTAAGTATGTCTTAGTGTCTACTTATTCATGCCTTTATTTTTATTTGTGAGCTCGCTGTCATTATTACATAATTAATTCCTTTTTCTTTCTTCTTTTTTTTATTATATGGCAGAGCTCAAACTATACCCTCCTGGTTCTGAGGGCAGTGCCCTGTCCCTACGCCACTCTGAGGAATCATGGCACAAACGCAAAAAACCCCTCTGGCCTGTGCCCCACGATCTGCATCACAGACGCTCCCAAGATGGTGGCCAATAATGCTCAACTGAAAAAATTCGGCCTTAAAATGGTGGCCGTTCCCGCCAAACTTCCCCGACCGATTCCCCAAACAAAACAAAATGGCGCTGAGAAATTTTTTACGCCCGCCGGCAAGCGCCAGCCGCAGACGCGCAGCAAGCGCCCTGGAGCTGCCAGAAATTGCGCTCCTACGAAAAGACGCGCCGCGCGCCGCTTGATTCGCGGCCCTTGCTCAAGCGCTCGTCCACGGGCGCGCTTCAAACGCCCTGGAGCATCCAGGACAACATGCTCCTTACAAACAGGCGCGGCGTGCACCGCTCAAAATGGCGGCGATTGGCAAAATGACTGCCGCAAATCACGCTCGCCGCGGGACGTAACGCGCAGCCGCAATTCGAGCGCAAATCGCGCTGCGCGCCTCCCGCTCAGCGCCAGAGGCCTAACACTAGGCCGCGCCGCTCCTTCGCATGGACGGGTCCTGGCACAAGGCGCGCCGCTTCCAAACGTGCAGCCAAGCGCTGCCCAGGCCCCCGCTGAACCAGAGAGGCCCGCGCCAAGGCCTCCAGCCGCCATCGAGGGGGAAGGAGGAACCGCACCCTCCTTCCCAAAGTGCTCCCCACCGACCTGGAGCACAGCTGACACACGTCTTGCCGTCTGGAAAGTCAGACAAGACTGAAGGACGGAGGCTGGCTCATGTGGTAAGCCAGCCCCCGCCCCTCTTCCAGGAGGTTCTAACAGGAACCTCCCATTCTCTCCCTTCAGGGGGTGGGGCAAATCGCTCTCCCCACCAACTGCGTTGGTGTGGAGAGTCCCTTATTGTCAAAGGCTTTCACAGCTGGAATCACTGGGGTATTGTGTAGTTTCCAGACTATATGGCCATGTCCTTGCTGAGAAAATGCTGCTAGAAGGAAAAATGAGAAATGCTGCTAAAACATGGCCATACAGACTGGAAACCACACAACATCCCAGACAGACATTTAACAAAAAGGAATGACAATGTCACCTAATTGACAGAAAGCAGGAGATATCCAAATGAAGCATTAGCTCTCTTATATGTCTCTCTCTGCTAGCCTTTTGATAGGCAAAACAAAAGTCACAACATGAGTTTCAGAGAGACAACTGAGAATGTTGAAAGAGGAAGTTGCTAAGGTTACAGAGACACTAAAAGAAGCACGGGATTTGCCTGTTTGCTATTTTCCCCGAATGTTTTAAATATCTTGTATGCTATACCTCCTCAGTCCCAAAATGGTAATGGCAGAAGAAAGGAATTGATTAGACACATTTTGGCTCCTCTGTCTTTGATGATATCATTGTTATCTTTGCAAGCAAGCTAGTAGGGGTTCCCATCACGTTTTAAATTGGACATTTTTACACATTTATGTGGGGAATTGAGGAATAAATCGCTTGCCAATTGACTTACGAATTATGGAAAAAACTCATACTTTAGAAATAGCAAGATACCTCTACCCCACATTTGAAGCTTGCATCATGTGAAGGGCACCCTCAGTTGTAGTTTCTTAAGTGTGTAGAAATGCTTATTTAATTGTGTGTAATGAAGTCCACAATTGCTACCATAGTACCATGAAAATGACATGAACTCTTTGGAGGAAAAGTGGGTCACAAATATAATAAATTGATTGCAATTTGAGAGTTTGTTGTTCATTTATAATGGATGGATTTGTATGATTTTTTTCACTGTGTGTTATAAAAATCCATTAATAATTATTCAGAACATCTTTTTTTCCCACAGAGAAAGTCTATAAGGAGATAGAAGATGCTTTGAGTTCCTCTTCTTTCTGCTATCAAGATCTAAAGAAGCTCCCTTATACAAATGCTGTACTTCATGAGATTCAGCGTTCAAAATATCCCTTGATATTTGGGCTCCCAAGACAAACTTCCCAAGATGTGAAGATGAGAGGTTTTCTCATCCCTAAGGTATAACATGTAGATATGCACTTCTACATACAAAGAACAGGGATGGGACATAAAACAAACCATTACCAAAAAAAAACAAAACAAAAGTAAACCTTAATTGAACCCTCAGATCTAAGAGAGACGTGTATGTGCCTTTTTGTCTGACATTGGTTGCTTTCTACATTTCAGGGGACAGTTATTATACCAAATCTACGCTCTGCTCTTATTGATCCTGAGTATTGGGAGACTCCTGAAGAGTTCAATCCAAATCATTTTTTGGACAAGGATGGAAATTTTGTTGCTAGGGAAGAGTACCTGGTATTTGGTGCAGGTAAAAAGCCATTCAAAGCAGTTTGTGGTTTATCAGTGTGTCTTTCTGGGAAGTTTTAAAGATAAAATCTGCTTATAGACCTTATCCTTTATGAGGCATTGCTGTACTGTGGCAGCAATCTAGGAGGAAATGGTCCCCAGATAAAAGCATTTCCTTGGAGGGGGGAAGCATTGTGTTTGGGGAGTACAATGGCAGGACTCTTATACATATTTATGGCGCTCACTATAACCTGCAATGTCATTGGAAGGAGGGCCATTGGTGGCTCTTCATAGGTGGGGATCAAAGCTGTTTGTGGAAGTGGGAGCCTGTCTGTGAAAGTGGGCACTCCAGCCAATGCACACACGCATATTTTCACTTTTATAATGGATATAGAACAGGGGTCCCCAAACTACGGCCCACGGGCTGTATGCGGCCCGCCGAGGGCATTTCTCCGGCCCGCGAGGCCTGGCCTGGCCTGGCCACGCCCACCCGGCGCCGCTCTGCCCATCGCGGGAACTCTCTGCTCTGGCCGCTCTGCTCGTGTGGGAGGGAGAAGCCTTTTGTAGTTTACCTGCCTCCTTGGAGACCAGAGCAGAGGGTTCCTGCAAAGGCCGGAGCGGCGCCGGGTGGGCGTGGCTAGAGAACACCAGCATTCCCTGGCCACGCCCACCTGGCACCGCTGGCCACGCCCACCCGGCGCTGCTCCGGCCTTTGCAGGAACCCATCATTGTTTGAGTCCACAGTGTTCTCAGGATGTAGGTGAACTACAACTCCAAAACCAAAGGACACTGCCCACCAAACCCTTCCAGTATTTTCTGTTGGTCATGGGAGAACTGTGTGCCAAGTTTGGTTCAATTCCACCTTAGATGGGGTTCAGAATGCTCTTTGATTTAGGTGAACTATAAATCCCAGCAACTACAACTCCCAAACGTCAAGATTCTATTTCCCCCATACTCCACAGGTGTTCCCATTTGGGCATATGGAATATCAGTGCCAAGTTTGGTCCAGATCTATCATTGAGTCCACAGTGATTGATGGAGGCAGGTGAACTACAACTCCAAAACCAAAGGACACTGCCCACCAAACCCTTCCAGTATTTTCTGTTGGTCATGGGAGAACTGTGTGCCAAGTTTGGTTCAATTCCACCTTAGATGGGGTTCAGAATGCTCTTGGATTGTAGGTGAACTATAAATCCCAGCAACTACCACTCCCAAACGTCAAGATTCTATTTCCCCCCAAACTCCACCAGTGTTCACATTTGGGCATATTGAGTATTTGTGCCAAGTTTGATCCCGATCCATCATTGTTTGAGTCCACAATGATCTCTGAATGTAGGTGAACTACAACTCCAAAACCAAAGGACACTGCCCACCAAACCCTTCCAGTATTTTCTGTTGGTCATGGGAGAAATGTGTGCCAAGTTTGGTTCAATTCCATCGTTGGTGGGGTTCAGAATACTCTTTGATTGTAGGTGAACTATAAATCCCAGCAACTATAACTCACAAATGACAAAATCATTTTTTGTGTGAAGGACATACATTGGGTTGTTAGGTGTCTTGTGATCAGTTTTTTGAGTGAAGGACATACATTGGGTTGTTAGGTGTCTTGTGTCTAAAATTGGTGTCAATTCGTCCAGTGGTTTTTGAGTTCTGTTAATCCCACAAACGAACATTACATTTTTATTTATATAGAAGTGTGGGTCTTTGTTTTTTGATTGGGGGGGGGTTTGCACTGCAAATAATATATGTGCAGAGTGCATAGGAATTCATTCATGTTTTTTTTTTCAAATTATAATCCGGCCCCCCAACAGTTTGCGGGACTGCGATCCGGCCCTCTGTTCAAAAAGTTTGGGGACCCCTGATATAGAAGATACAGACAGTATCCGTCACTGTTCTGTGATCTTGTGGATCCAATAACACTTTTTAAAGCTATCTTTGTGCATGGGAATTTTAGTGAACATTAAAACAGAACAAAACTATTGAAAGCATTAAAAGGATTTAAAACTATGCTTAAACAGAAAAAATACAATTAAAAGATAAAAAAACAATTAAAACAGTTCAGTTTAAGATAGAACAGGAAATGTTTCATATCTTCTTGTGATCCGTTTTCCATTATTACTCAATCCATTTTGCCATACAACAAACCATTCCCTACCTGCATCATGCCTACATTGAAATCTTCTGTTGTTAGTTCTTTGGTCCAATTTTTCATAGCAGTTATAGGAAAAGTGTTTACCAAGGAAAAGAAGTGTTTATCAACAAAGGTATTTGTGAAAGATGCCCTTCCAACTTCGAGATGCCTGTGGAGCAGAACAGACAACTCTGCATCTGTATGCTTGTCCACTGTGCCCTGCCTCATGTACAGAGGAAGAGTTATTGGAGGCTACAGACAAAGGATATTTAGCCGCCTACAATCCTTCTATTTTTATCAGTTTTATACAAATTTATGCAATGCTTTTGATACAAAATAAATAAATAAACTCAGTGTATTCCACTCCTGAACATCACCTTCAGTCAACAAGTTCTTTTACTTGGAGAGGGTGGAATGGACCATAACCTACTAATCCATAGTCCAGTTTTCAGATCCATCCTTATTTGTTGAATGTGATAGATGGTCACTTTCTGCCTTTGTTTCCCCTGCAGGGGCTCGGGTGTGTTTGGGGGAGCAGCTGGCAAGGATGGAGTTCTTCATCTTCTTAGTCAGCCTGCTGAGAGTCTTCCGTTTCCAGCTGCCTCCAGGAGTCAAAGAACTCAATGAACAACCTGCAGTAGGACTGACAACACCACCTCATCCTTATAAAGTGTGTGCAGTTCCTCGCTCTAGTTCATCATTAAACATACAAAAATAACTACAATGGCTGATATTTAATTGCTGTAATTTTAACCAAATCCATCTTTAACTTTCTTGAATGTTCCCAAACTTCTTCTTTAAGCATAGAACTAAAAATGCAGTCATAAAGTAATTTTACTTCACTCTGTTTTGCTTTTTCACCAACTGCTCTGTTTAAAGAATTTTTTCTATATCAATAATTTTCAGGCAGCTTGATATCAATTTTTTATATTTCATTCATCCTACAAAACTCAACACAAAGTCTACTGATTGATTCTTCCAGGAACTTCCACAGCAAACATGAGGGTGGACAAATACAATTCCCTCAAAAATGCAGGAAAAAACATTACAAACAGCAAAATTTGCAAGATTTCTAGATGCAGGAATATCTTATTTCTGAGCCGAAAATCCACACCTTAGAATGTCTTTATGTCCCTGTGAACAGAAAACACAGAATTTTTTTTATCTGGGTCTGTTTCCGGATTTTAAATGTTTGTTTCTGATTGGTCGGTTACTAAAAATAAGGTGACAGTTGAGTAGAACGCAGAAACTTTGTTTGTGTGCCAGAAGCTTCATGAAATATGTGGAGGGCACATTTTTTTTCTGGCCATGAAAAAGTAGTGGCCCCCTCCTCAACGTTGTACATCTTTTCACAGCAAGAGAAATCAGGAAGAGACATGTACAAGGGGTATTTTTAAAGTAAGGTCCGTTTTGTTGTAGACACTAGTAGTTCGCGCGCATACCGCAACGAGCATGTGCGTCGTGTACCGGAATGCCTCGGGAACAACTGTGCTCAGTTTCCGCTCTGTAGCTCACCTGTACGGTTCTGTTCTGTGCTTTAAAAATGTTTAAGACTATCAACTCACCCGCCGTATGTGAGGTTCACTCAGTGATACGGTTTTTGTCAGCAAGGAACCTGCCTGCTGCAGAAATTCATCGACAGATTTGTGAAGTGTACGGTGATACTGTTATGAGTGAAAGCAAAGTGCGTAAGTGGGTACGACAATTCAAAGATGGCCGTGACAACGTCCATGATGAGGACCACTCCGGTCGCCCTTCTTTGATTACAGACGATTTGGTTATCGGAGCAGGCGGCAAGTTTTTATGAAGAGGGTATTTTAAAATTGGTTCAGAGGTATGATAAGTGTTTGAACAAACTTGGCAACTATGTCAAAAAATAGAGTGAAGTATGTACTTTCTGAAAATAAATTTACTTTTTTGAAATAAACTTTCGTTGTGTACTTATGTTCAAATGGACCTTACTTTAAAAATACCCCTCATATAACCCAGGAACAGCAATTTGTTGTCCCATGCCACAAGTACACAACCAAATCTGTCTGGACAGATGGCTCTAAACAGCATCAATAATGACAAAATTATGTTCCTGGCTTGAAAGTGTTTGTTCCTGTTTGATTGTGCAGTGCTGACTTGGGCAGAAGTGGTCCTACCTCACAAACTTTATTTGTATGGCAGAAACTTCATTAAATATGTCGAGGGCAAAGGGTCTCTGGCCAGGACAAAGAACGGCACTTTTACTTTGATTCACATATCCACATATCTGCATCTTCATTATTTTGGTCTTTTTAAAAACAAAGCCGCTGAAGTTTCCTGCGGATGTCTTGCGGAGGCTGCATTTTGGGGGCTGCAAAAACATTCTGCAAATACATTTGAAAGACACCAAGATTACATCAATACCATCAATTTTAATAGTAATATGACTGCTGCCTGATGAGAAATGATCCACAGGGAAGGGCACTGATATGCTATCACCTATTTCCTTGCAGAAGGTGTGAGAAAGTCAAACCAGTTTTAGCAATGCTTTGACTCAGTATCTTCTTCCTGATGAGATAACCAAGCCCTCATCAATATCGATGACTTGTTTGGATTGAGCTTCTCTTCATTCTTCCTCATCTAGGTTATGATGACCTGATTTATGGTGTACCTCAGAAACCTTTAATTTTGACATTTAATTATATGGCTTTTGTGAGCTACTTTGGGTCTCCATCCTGAGAAATAAGCAGTGTACAAATTATATTGCTGTTGTGTTGTTGAAGGCTTTCATGGCCAAAATCACTGGGTTGCTGTGAGTTTTTCGGGTTGTATGTATGGCCATGTTCTAGAAGCATTCTCTCCTAACATTTCACCTGCATCTGTGGCTAATGGCATCTACAGAGGTCTCAGAAAGATAGTCTAGGGAATTTCTTGGCTCCTTACAAATCTTTCATTTGGGGCTTTCATAAAAGACTTTTGGATGCCCAAGCCTTGGTACTCCAGATGTTTGGGACTCCAACTCCCAGAAGCCCCAGTCAGCTTACCTGATACTCAGGAACTCTGTAGTCGATGTCCAAAATACACTGAGGCCTGAAGGGTGGACACAACTTGTGACGGCGCGAGTGGCGTCACCTATGTGTAGAACTGTTAGTTGCAAGATTTAAACTGTTGTATCATGCTTAAGCCTGCATTTTTACCCTGTTTATGTATAGTTGGATTGGTTATTTATAGCTGTCAATCAGTACTGTTTGGCTCCACCTCTTCCTGCAGGAGGGGAGTGCTTTCTTTCTTTCATTCTGCCATCAGAGTTTCTACCAGATGGACGTAAGAGACTTGACTCTAAAAGACCCTGATTAAATTACCTCTCAGCACCAGTTCTGAGGATTTTTACCCTTGAGACTTGTACTTCATGTTCAGACCAACCTGAACGACGGTGGAAGTCTCAAGCGCCTTCAAACCAGTTCTTTTGGCACCAAAGGAAGATCCTGAGTCTTCAAACATAGGTCATCTGAACTGGGGTTGTGGTTTGCTTTGGCATTCACAGCCACTGAGGAAAGAGAAAACTTGGAAAAGATTCTCAGCTTCAAACACCTTGGACCCAGGACTAACTGAGACTGTAACGTATATTTTCCTTCACCCCGCTGAAGTTTCCAGCTCATTGCTTTAAAGAAATAACTCTTTGTGATCAATAAAACTTATTTTGAGTTATTTACAGCATTTTGGGTTTCTGAGAGTTCCAGTTTCCTATAGGAAGGCAAGAAGCAATCCCCTGGGGAAAGATGCCACGTCCATCCCTCCTTCATTAAGAATAATAGCCCCCAGGCATGACGGCACACAACTGATGTAAACAAAGACTGATATCCTACATAGTGCTTCCAAAGTGTAAATCGGTATTTATGCAGTTACCTTATTTTAACTGTATTTTAATGAGTTCTAAATGGTTTTATTGGATCCATCCATATTGGTTGAAGATTCTACACACTTTGATTAGAATAGAATATGGCTTCTCTACTCCTAGTAAAACCAGGAAAGGAAACCTTGAAGGTTCTTCCCAGTTGATCATCAATTTATTTTAATGTATTGTTGAAGGCTTTCATGGTCGGAATCACTGGGTTGTTGTAAGTTTTTCAGGTTATATGGCCATGTTCTAGAGGCATTCTCTCCTGACATTTCGCCAGCATCTATGGCAAGCATCCTCACTATGTCTCCCTGAGCGCTGCTCCTGTTGACAATCTGGCTGCCATCTGTTGGACCATTTGAAGCTTCCAGACAGTCTTCAAAGGCAACCCCACGTAGAGCGAGTTGCAGTAGTCTATATGGGATGTGACCAGAGTGTGGATTACCGTGGCCAAGTCAGACTTTCCCAGGTACGGGTGCAGCTGGCGCACAAGTTTTAACTGTGCTAATGCTCCTTTGGTCACCACCGAAACCTGGGGTTCCAGGCTCAGCGATGAGTCCAGGATCACTCCCAAACTGTGAACCTGCGTCTTCAGGAGGAGTGTAACTCCATCCAACACAGGCTGTAACCCTATGCCCTGTTCAGCCTTGTGACCGACCAGGAGTACCTCTGTCTTGTCTGGATTCATCCAGTTTGTCACAGCGGCCAAGCACGGGTTCAGGACCTGAACAGCCTCCTTAGTAGCAGGTGGGAAGGAGTGATAGAGTTGGATGTCATCTGCGTAAAAATTGGTTCATACAAAGAGATATGATCCATCAGATAACTTGGACCAGAGCCATGCAAGGCTTTGTAGGTCAAAACTAGCACTTTGAGGGCGCGCACACACAGACACATTCATACCTCCGCTTAATTTCAGGGAAGAGACAAGCTGGCAACAGGATGTGCATGGCATTGTGTGATAAGGATGCCAAGTGCTCCTTTTACATGAAGGTCCTGCTTGAATGCTGCTTTGCCTTTCTTCTGCAATAAAGTCCTTAGATTCATTACACATCGGTCTTCTGGTGTACATGAGAAGTCCCTCTGTTCATTTAGTGTGGGTTTTTTCTCTGATTTGTTTTTTTATTCATTTGAACATACATGGCACAGAATTGATCCTATACAGTCTCAGACTGCCTTTCTACTAATTTTTTTGTGCAGCACACAACAATTAAACAGATTGCAAAACTGCTATGTGTTATTATGGCAGCAGTTCAAAGGGCAATGTTTAATGGCTACTTGAAAAGGATTTCAGAATATGATTGCCTGGCTTTTTTATATCTGGAATATGTGTGTGTGTGTGTATTTGTATATATACATCTACATTTAAATATATATGGATGTTAGTAGGAAAGAGAGAGGGAAATACGGCATCATCACTGAAGAAGGAACATTGAGCCAACATTTTTCAACTTGTCCACAGCTGACTGGAAATAAACAAAGCGAAAGCGAATTCCAGCAACAAATGTACTGTGAACCAATAAACCCTCAGACTGTAACTTGTACCAATCAGAGCAATGTCTGCTATTTTGAAATGTCTATAAAATGTCAACATCTGTAATTTTGAGACATTTCCCCTGGCATCCTTCCTTGGCCAACGGAGGCAAGAAAGCAATTTCTGACTCTACTCTTTAACTCTGTGTGTCTGGATTGTAACCAATCAGAGTTGGAACGCTAAGAATCATTTTTTCACAATTAATTAATGCAATTCACACACATGACTCTGAGAGTGTAAATTTATTCTCTGTCTTTTAATGTGGAAACATAGAATCATAGAATCAGAGTTGGAAGAGACCTCATGGGCCATCCAGTCCATCCCCCTGCCAAGAAACAGAAAAATTGCATACAAAGCACCCCCGACAGATGGCCATCCAGCCTCTGTTTGAAAGCTTCCAAAGAAGGAGCCTCCACCACACTCCAGGGCAGAGAGTTCCACTGCTGAACGGCTCTTACAGTCAAGAAGTTCTTCCTCATGTTCAGATGGAATCTCCTTTCTTGTAGTGTAAAGCCATTGCTCCATTGCTTCCTAATCTCCAGGGCAGCATAAAACAACCTTGCTCCCTATGACTTCCTCTCACGTATTTATACATGGCTACAATGTCTCCTCTCAGCCTTCTCTTTTGCAGGCTAAACATGCCCAGTTCTGTAAGCCGCTCCTCATAGGGCTTGTTCTCCAGACCCTTGATCATTTTAGTCGCTCTCCTCTGGACACATTCCAGCTTGTCAATATCTCACTTCAATTGTGGTGCCCAGAATTGGACACAATATTCCAGGTGTGGTCTAACCAAGGCAGAATAGAGGGGTAGCATGACTTCCCTGGATCTAGAAACTATACATCAGCCAGGGGTTTTCAAACTTTTTAAACAGAGGGCCTGGTCACAGTCCCTCCAACTGTTGGAGGGCCAGATTATAATTTGAAAAAAAAAAAACATGAACGAATTCCTATGCACACTGCACATATCTTATTTGTAGTGCAAAAAACACTAAAAACAATACAATAATTAAAATGAAGAACAACTTTAACAAATATAAACTTAATTTATTAGTATTTAAATGG